GACTGCGGTCTGCGCATCAAGGTGGGTTGATCTCGTCCATTCATCGTCATTGCGTCATCTGATCTCGTCCATTCACCGTCATTGCGTCATCTGATCGTTCCCATTTCTGTTCTTCATTCCAGTTCCCACTGTGATTTATCCCTCTTATTCTCACAACATGTGCCACCCGCTCACGTTGTTGTCATTTTCTTGCAATTCGCCCTCGCTGCAGTGGCTGCCCTCTGCTGTGATCAACTCGGGCCTGAGCCACATCTCCTCCGATCTGTTTCCGGACCGCACCGTCTACCCGTACTCGCACCGCGTGGTGAGTCGTCGTCCATCCACACACACACACACACACACACACACACACACACACACACACACACACACACACACACACACACACACACACACGACGCACGTATCAGGTGGTGATGCGGTGATTTGTTATCTATATCTTTTCTGTCGCCTCACACAACAACAACAACAACAACAACAACAACAACAACAACAACAACAACAACAACAACAACAACAACAACAACAACAACAACAACAACAACAACAACAACAACAACAACAACAACAACAACAACAACCCTCCCAGGGCAACTTGAGCGACGGGATTGTGCTGCCGCTGATTGCTGCTGAGACGCGCGAGATGCTGTGTCCGGATCTCCACCCTCGCCTCACCGTCCTCGGCGTCGGCGTTGGCGTCTCTGCTGTTGAGCTCAACGCGCGCATTGACCGTACGCACCTCGAGCAGTACCTGTCGCTCTTGCTCGAAAGCGTCAGCGCTAAGATGGGCAAGCTCATCACAGGTGCGCAGTGTGTGCACGTGTGTGTGCGTGTGTGTGCATGTGTGTGCATGTGTGTGTGTGTTTGTCTGTCTGTCTGTCTGTCTGTTTGTCTGTCTGTCTGTCTGTCTGTCTGCGGTCCGTTCTTGCTCCGTGTGGGCCCCTTCCTCGCCTCACATACTCCCACCCTCTGTTCACGCCTCTCCCCCCTGCATGTTCATCACTGCCGATGTCTTTCCAGAGCCGCCGTCGTCTGGGGATGCATCGCTCATCACACTCCACATTGACCTCGAACCCGCCGGCACAGACGCTTCTGCTGCCGTGAGTTGCGGCGGCCCGCGACATGTGCAGTTGTGTGTGTGTGTGTGTGTGTGTGTGTGTGTGTGTGTGTGTGTGTGTGTGTGTGTGTGCGTGTGCGTGCGTGTGCGTGTCGTATGTCATGTGCATACATTTTGAAGAAAGCGCTTGCTCCAGCGCTGTTTCGCTACCCTACTCGTACTCACGCCTTCGCCCACCTGTGTGTGCTTGCATCCAGACGTATCGCATCTCCAAGAACTACGGGGACGTGTGTCCACAGGCGCCAGGTCTGACAATGCGGAAATGGAGCCGGATGCTCCATCCACTCCCCGCCCCGCCCGTCACCGCCAAAGTCGCACTTCAGGTGTCACTCGAACTCATCTGATCGAGCGGTCACGTTGAATTCACCAAGTCACGCAGCGCTGGTGGCTACTGTTGATGCCCAAACTGATGACATTGCAGTTGTGTTTCTACAGACTAAAGACAACGCACGCACACACGCGCGCGTGTGATGCGTACCGTCTTTCTTTTTCCCCGTTCCCGCACTTTGGGTGGACTTGTTTGTCGAGTGGGGTTTGATGACTCTGACTAACGTCGCCTTTGCTGATTGACCTCCTTTCGTCGACGAACTGTGTCGTCGTTGTTGTAGTTGCTGTTGCTTGAGTTGCCCTTGTGGAGTGTTGCACTGCTATTGTCGCTTTCAATACCCGAGTGTTTACGTTCTCTAATTGCCCTCCGCTTCCGTTGCCTGACTCGTTGCTGTTGACCTGCCTGTGCGCATGTGTGCGTGCTTTCTTGCGCGCGTATGTGTGTTGTGTGTGCATGTGCATGTGTGAAATGGTGTTTGCCGTTCTCATTTCGCCCTGCGCAGGTTGTGAATGTGGCCATCTTTTGTTAATATTGTTCGCTCGCTCGCTCGCTTGGTTCCGCTGCTTTGATGCAACAGTTTGCGCGTGTGCGTGGCTGCGTTTGTTGTGGCTGCTCCCGAGTTATCTTGGTTTCCTTTTATTGGTTGGCGGTTTTGGCTTCAACTCATAAATGGTCTTTGCATACGTGATGGCGAACCGATAGGTGTGAAGGGAGGGATTGGTGGAGAGGTTGGGATGCGAAGGAGCTGTAGAGTGCCACGGTCAACCATGCGAGCTCTGTTTGGTCCATTCGTGCATGGCTGCGTTCACGTCAGCACCCCCTGGGAAAGCGTCAGGTCTCACACCATCAGTCCAGGTGCCGCCTGTTGTATCTGCACTCGTCAAACAGGGACTCGAGGAACTTTTCGCCCGGCTGTTCCTCTGCCTGCCGCGCCATCTCAATCAGCATGTACAACTTCTTGATGCCGATGCTGATCTCAACCGTGTCGTCCAGCATGCTGTGGCGGAGTTGCGACCCTGCACAGCCAGAGGGGGGAGCAAGGGGGAGAGTGTGTGAGCGAGGTGTGTGTGTGTGTGTGTGTGTGTGTGTGTGTGTGTGCGTGTGTGTATGAATGTGTGTATGAATGTGTGTGTGTGTGTGTGTGCGTGTGTGTATGAATGTGTGTATGAATGTGTGTATGAATGTGTGTGTGTGCGTGTGTGTATGAATGTGTGTGTGTGCGTGTGTGTATGAATGTGTGTATGAATGTGTGTGTATGAATGTGTGTGTGTGTGTGTGATACTGACCGTGAGAGAGCGCCGTCCGGATCTGCTCGATGTCGCGCTCGGGGAACGGCTGCAAATCATCAATGACCTTCATGACCTGCACAGCACAAGGCAACACACGCGCATACGATGAGGGGTGTGTTTGGGTGTGCATGTGTAGGTGCATGTGTATGTGTATGTGTATGCGTATGTGTCTGTATGTGTCTGTGCATGTGCATGTGTATGTGTGTGCATGTGTGCGTATGTATGTGCATGTGCATGTGTATGTGTGTGCGCGCGTGTATGTATGTGTATGGGTATGTACATGTGTATGTGTGTGTATTCACGGATACAGTGCAAGCAGCGACTTGACCTGTGATCCTTCGGTCAGTTGTTCCACTTGGATGATTTGACTGAACGCTTCCGTGATGCCCATAAGGTCTGCAGTACACAGTTGCATCACTTTGATGAGCACGAAGGAAGTGGCCTTCAGGCAATCCGCACGCACACACACACGTGCACACACACGTGCACACACACACACACAAACACACACACACACACAAACACAAGCACTGACCAAGGACGCTGCGCTTGCTCGTTGTGCCGATGAGGAAGAGTTTGTGGCCCTGAACACATAGCAGGAGCACCAGCATGTACAGCAGAGTGAGATGAACGAGCAGGAAAAAAATGTGGAACACAGTAACAAGTGGTGGCACACAGCAATGCACACACAGACATACACATGTACATACCTTTGGCGGTGCCTTCTTGAAGAGAACAAGCAGGGCTTGCAGAATGACATTGGAGAACCTGTAGTGATGGGCACACGAACGTGTGCGTACGTGAATGTGAACGAGCGAGCAAATGACACACACACACACACATACATGCACACATATACGCACACACATATACGCACAAACACATATACGCACAAACACATGTGCTGACGCACATGCACATTCAGCTCCCACAGCCACACAATTCCCACCACAGCGCACATCGCAGCACCTGTTGCCCATTGCGGAGTAATCGAGCAAGCGCTCAATGTCATCAATGACAATGACGCTCAGCCGCGACTTGTACGCGTCCTCAAACACCTGTACACATGTCATGCGCATGCAATGCACACGCCGCGTGAGCATGCGCAACAGTAGCAGCAGCAGCAGCAACAACAGTTAGGCGCCGAAACGTGTCACAACAGTCATCGAGGTCACCATCACTCACAGCCACCCCCACCAGGCTGCCACCACCTCCGCGTAACGCAACACCAAGCAGCGCCGTGCTGTGACCTTGTTGATCTTGTTGACTTTGGCGAATTCGGAGTATCCGACCATCTGCTCCGGGCTGATGAGTTTCACCAGCGGGAAACTGGACCGGAGCGCCAGCGCCGCCGCCAGCGCCGTCTTGCCGCTCCCTAAAATGGTGGCATTGTGTATGTGGGGTTTGTGAGTTTTGTGTGTACATGTGTGTGTACATGCATTTGTGTGTGTGTGTGTGTGTGCGTGTGTGTGTGTGCGTGCGTGTGTGTGTGCGTGCGTGCATGCGTGTGCGTGTGTGTGTGCGTGCGTGTGTGCGTGTGCGTGTGTGTGTGTGTTGTGTACAATTAGTTGCACATCTGAAAAATCAGATTGCAACAGAAACTCAGTGCGGTTGCTGCACCACCACTGCCCCATGCCCACACAACCAAGAGCCATCGTCCTTGGCCCGCACCTGCTTGTCCGGAGAGGAGCACGGAGACAAGCGGCGTGCGCGTGCTGTTTTCCGCCTGCTGGATAAGCAGCTCGCCATCGGAGAGAACGCGTTGCACGGGCTCGCCCCACGTCACAATGCCGTTGCGAGCACAGTCGTCCAGCTGAGGAAAAGGAGGAGGGGAGGGGATGAGAGTGCGCGCGCGTGTGTATGTAGTTGGATTATGAGCGAATATATGGAGGTGTAAATGTGTGGGAGACCAGCGAGGCAGGACGAAGAAAGAGATCGAAAGTGAGTGAGCATGTGTGTATGTGTGTGGTGTGTGTGTGTGTGTGTGGTTATGCAAGAGTGTTTGATGACACCAACGTGTAAAGACAAGCGCAAGAGCTACAGGCACATGGCACGTTGTAGCGCTGGTCTCACCTCCTCTGTTGCGGCACCAAAGGCCGGAATGACCTCTTGCACCGCGTTCAGGAAATCCTCGCGTGTCACCTGCACGTGTAAACATGACGCGTGTGTGAGGCAGCTGTGCGCGTGGGTCGTGTGGTGCGCCAGTTACATCACAACACGCGGTCACACCTTGATAGATGACAGCTCCTCAGTCTTGACCTCAACCGTGTTGTCAAACCTGTCGCACACGCGCGCACACACACACACACACATGCACACCAGTCACGCCGTGAGTAGCAGCAACAGCAGCAACAGCAGCAACAGCAGCTTCATGCATACACACACGCACACACACACACACACACACGCACACACACACACACAAGCACGCACAGCCACACGCAACTGACTTGATGCATCTGTTGCTGGCAAAGGAGGCCGCACTCCTGCAAACGCCGGCGATTTCGGCGCCGCTGAAGTTCTTGGTCGCACCTGCACACAACATGACAGCACGTGAGATGAGGCAGGTGTTGTGGGGCGAGTGGGGGGAGGGTTGTGGAACAGATTGGAAAGTAGTGCACAGCTGCACGCACTTGCGCGTTTCACACAGACACACACACAGACACACACACACACACAGACACACACACACAGACACACACACACACACACACAGGCACACACACACACACAGGCACACACACAAAACACACACATAACGAAGACACGCGACAGCGACGCACCAGCGAGCTCCTTGATGTTGACGTCTTCGGCGAGCATTTTATTCTCGCGCATCTTCTTCGTGTGGATGTTGAAAATCTGCTCGCGCCCCACCGTGTCCGGCAGCCCAATCTGCATCTTCAGCTCAAGGCGACCCGGGCGAAGGAGGGCTTCGTCAATCATGTCAAGCCTGTTTGTCATGCCAATGAGGAGGATGTTGTTGAGGGCCTCCACGCCGTCAATCTTGGACAGCAGCTGGTTCACAATGCTGTCGTGCACGCCCGTTCCGCTCTGCACAGATCCGCGCTGGCGGCAGATGGCGTCAAGCTCATCCATGATGATCACGTGCAGCGAGCTGCCGTGTTGGATTTGTGGGGAGGCGAAAGGGGGGATGTGCGTGCGTGCGTGTGTGTGTGTGTGTGTGTGTGTGTGTGTGTGTGTGTGTGTGTGTGTGTGTGTGTGTGTGTGTGTGTGTGTGTGAGGTGAGATGAGAGAGTAATGGATGACAACGCGTAGGACACAGCGTAAATCTACACACACACACACGCGCGCGCGCGCACGCATCTGCTTCAGCTGTTCTCCCATCCCCTCACCACCACCATGGGCAACGGACCCATGAGGGAGCCCTCGTCAAACTTGAACAGCTCCTTAACGGTGACGCTCAGCAGCACTTCCTTGGCGTTTGACGGCTTGAAGCTGAACAGAATCAGCTGCAAGCAGTGGCATGGGCAGGCAAGGAAAAGGGGGGGGGGGGGTCAGGAGACGGGGACAGAGAGAGAGAGAGAGTGTGTGTGTATGTGTGTGTGTAAGTAGGAGGGACACGAGACGAAATGTGTGTGTGTGTGTGTGTGTGTGTGTGTGTGTGGTTGTGTGTGCGCGTGTGCATCCGTGATTGCGTGGACTTGTGCGCACTGCAGTCCTCGACAACGGCCTTTGATCTGAAACTCTGCTTGTGGCACAAGGGACGATGGACCAACCTGCCCGGGGCTGAGGATCATGTTTGCAAATGATTCGCGGAACTGCGTTGCCATCTCCTCAATCTGATGCAGCCAACCCAACCAAAGACACACGCGCACACGAAAGAGAGGGCAAAAGGCATGCGTCAGCTGTTGTGCAATTGCGCACATGTATGTGTACATATGCATATGTGCGTGTACGTATGCGGATTCGTATGTGTGCGCGCGCGTGTGTGTGTGTGTGTGCGTGCGTGTGTGTGTGTGCACTGTCATGTGTATACATGTCAAGGAAAACGAACTCACCTTGTAGCGGGTTGTCTGGGAAGCGCTCTTCTTCCAAAAGTCCAGCTCCAAAGTGGCCAGGCTGCGACACACACACACGCGCGCGACACCACGCAACAATGAGTCCACACAACATTGTCAGCACTTTCAATACACACATACACACAAACACACATGCATACACACGCATGCATGTACGTTCACACGCACACAAAGCACACACACACACATGCACGGAAAGAAATACGCACCCCACGCCGTCAAAGGGGCCGGAGATTGGCTCAATCTTCAGGTCTTCACCCAGTGTGAGCTTTGCCCACTTGCGCTGCGCCACATTTGCTGCGACTTGTGTTGGTTTCTGACAGAGGTAACAACATGGCAGCCATGCGTGAGGACGGACTTTGAGTTGTGGTCATTGAGCAGCGGCCGCAAAGCACATAGACGCGGCAGCGTGCTAGCAGCGTGCTAGCAGCGTGCTAGTATCTTGCAACTCGCAAACAGATGTGCACACATGCACACACATGGACATACATGTACACGCGCACACACACACACACGCACGCACACACACACACACACACACACACACACACACACACACACACACACACACATACGCACCCCCCCCCCCACACACACACACACGCACAACCACACACAACCACACCCACGACGAAGACTGACCAGGACCGGGGAGCGCTCCAGCGTCTGTGCAAAGCGGCCGCCGTCCTGAGGGTGCACGTACACATGGCGGACTTGCGCGGGTACACTGCATTCCGTGGAGACAACAAGCCTGTTGCGCACAGCCTCCTGTGTGCTGGAGGACTTGACCAACTTCATCTCAAACATTTGACTGCCAAATGCAGCGGAGCACACAAACAACATACACGCAGCAGGAGCGCAGGCGCGATGATTGCGATGGAAGTAGGTGAGACGGGTGCGTGCAACAAAAAAAAATGACCCGAGTGCACTGCACTGGTCACAACAGGGAGATCACACGCACACAGGGTGACACGCGTCTTTGGATATTCTTGGAACACGAAGCCCACACTCGTCATCCGTGCAAGGCGAAACAGCACACAAAAGGTCCAACACATCAAACCAAAGCAAAGACAGGGGGTGGAACTTGGGATCATCGATTGCAATGGAGACAGACACACACACACACACGCCGCACACGCGCATACGCGCATACATCGACGGTTGACGTTGTCTCACAACCACACATCGACGGTTGCACGCATCACAGCCATCACCGCACGCATCACAGCACCTCATCTTCGTCGTCGCCTTTTTGCCTTTGCTCAAAGTGTTGATATTTGTGGTGTGCATCAGATTTTGCTGACTCGGCATTTGTGGGCTGTTCACAATACACAATTTTGTTCACGTTACAGAGAAGCTGGCAAGTCTTCTTCCAATCTTCCTTTTTCCCCTGTGTTTGCCTTGCACCTTCAGCCCACGCGACCACCAAGATGGAAGTCGTGAGTATCAAGCCATGCTCTGTGGCCGTGCTGTGCTGCTGTGTGTGTGTGTGTGTGTGTGTGTGTGTGTGTGTGTGTATGTGTTGCTGTGTGCATGTGTTGCTGTGTGTGTGTGTGTGTGTGTGTGTGTGTGTGTTGTATGCTCCGTGTGGATCGAGAAGCCAGCGTCATCATGCGTGGGCGGTGAACACGATGCATGAGACCGAGAGCAGCTCTCCACAGCTTGAGTGCGCATGAAAGACAGTGGCTGGTACATGCAAAGCAGCACAAGCAGCAACAACAACATGCAGGCAGTCGCACAGAAACAGATACAGCGGCAGCCAGGTTGTGCGAAGGCCAATGAGCCAACGCTCAGCGATAGCCTGTCAACAGACACACACACACATGCACGCATATGCGTGTGCGCATACCACGGATGTGCACGAACCCGACCGCCATCGCAGCGAAGGACCATCGGCTCTGGCGTTTTGGTGGCTGTTGTGTGGCTGCCAGCACCATCACTACCACCTGCATCAGCATGTGCAGCAACCGCAACAGCCGAGCGAGACAGCAAACTGTAGCAAGCCACATGGGAGCCAAGCAACTGCACATGCACTCTCAATCGTGCATGTGTGTGTATGGGATCACTGTCCTTGAGCTTGTCACGCATGACTGCTCACCCTGGCCACCCCCTGCTCCCTTGTTTCTGCCCTATTCCTATTGCACGCGTGTGTGTGTGTGATGCCCAATTTGCAGCAACACGAGCGTGCCTACCAGAAGCAGCGTCTCATCTTTGAGAACAAGAAGCGCATCGGTGCTGCCAAGGTCAAGTCTTCTGAGCTCCGCTTCGTCAAGAACGTCGGTCTCGGTTTCAAGACCCCCCGTGAGGTACGCTTCGCCACTGCATTCGAGAGTCAAGAGGCCGCCGATGAGAGCGTGTGGTCTTCGCTTGCGTATCTTGCAGTCTTGTTTCTGGGAACAAGTTGCCGTGTGCCGTACCGTGTCTGCGCGCGTGCGTGTGCGCACCAGCGATACATGGCACCATCGGTACTTCCTTGCAACGCCACTGCTGCCGCTGCTGCTGCTCCATGTTTGCTTCTCAGCGCTCACCACTCGTTCTCCTCGCCCTCTCTGCTGCTGCTTGCTTGTTTAGGCCCGCGAGCTCGAGTACATTGACCGCAAGTGCCCCTTCACCGGCGATGTCAGCATCCGCGGTCGTGTCCTGAACGGTGTTGTCAAGACCCTGAAGATGCAGAGGTGCGTTTGTGTCGCTTGCTGCGTTTGGCGGTTGCGCTGTACCACTTTTTGAAAGACACATAATTGTGTGGTGTTGTGCTGGGTCGTGTGCGTTTTCTCTTTGGTGTGCCACCGCTGCCGATGCGCTGTCCTTGGCTTCGTGTTTGACACACACGCACGCACACGCACACGCACACACACACACTCTCTCTCTCTTTCTCTCTCTGCTTCCTCCCCTCTGTTTTCTCCCTTTGGCCCCCGCAACTCATCATGCGCGGTGCTTGACGATCTTGCCAAATGTTACAGGACTTGCGTCGTCCGCAGGGACTACCTCCACTTCATCCCCAAGTACCGCCGTTTCGAGAAGCGCCACAAGAACCTGTCTGTTCACGTGTCCCCCGCTTTCCGTGATATCGCCGTCGGCGATGCCGTCACAATTGGCCAGTGCCGTCCTCTCTCTAAGGTATGGTGTGAATGCCTGTGAACGGTGTATGTGTCAATGATTTGAGTCGACTACTATGTGGTTGTGACATGTTCGATGGAAGAGGCGAAGTCATGTGTCGCGGGATGATGGATGCCCTTGTTCTTCTGTATGGTTTGTGTCGCCGAACACTCACACACACACATACACACACACACACATACACACACACACACACACACTTCTCTCTCTCTCTCCCACTATGGATGCTGCAACTTCTTCGTTGTTGCCTTGTTTTGTGTTCTGGATATGTGTAGACCGTGCGCTTCAACGTGCTCCGCGTGCACAAGGCCAAGGGTGCCAAGAAGCAGTTCTCCAAGTTCTGAGCTTCTAACTGAATAAACCCCCCTTTGTCGCGCAGCTGTTTGTTGATGATGATGGTCCCTGTTGGTGTTGCCGCTGTTCCCGCCAATATCACACAACAATGAACCGTTGATGTGGAACTGACGCACTGGCATTGCGAGAGGGTGCGCGAGGGACAAGAGAGCCGAGCGTACTTGTGTCTGATGCAGAAGTCTCACTTTCGCGCACGCTGACAAAACACAAACAACCTCAGACAAGAAGAAGGAAAGACCACGTGCGCGGATGATGAGCTCGTCTTCGTCGTCGTGGTTGGAGCATATCAGTGCCACCAACGTGGCGCTGAGTGTTGTGATTGGCTATCTTGTGTACAAGGTGTTTGGCTTTGACAAGCGGGCCGAACAGAGGAAGGAGCAGGACCGCAAGAAGCGGGAGGAGGCCCTGGGACACGACAGGGTGTTCACACTGAAAGAGCTGCGCGCTTACGATGGCACAAAGCCAAGCAAGGAGCATGGCGGCGAGAAGCCCATCTACATTGCCGTGGACGGTGTCGTCTTCGACATGACTTCTGGCGCAGACTTCTACGGACCAGGTGAGTGCAACAAGAGTTGGAGGCTATACGCGTGGTGTGTGTGTGTGTGTGTGTGTGTGTGTGTGTGTGTGTGTTGTGTGTGTGTGTGTGTGTGTGTGTGTGTGTGTGTGTGTGTGTGTGTCTATGTGTGTTTATGTGTCTGTGCCTGTGCCTGTGTCTGTGTGTGTCTGTGTGTCTGTGTGTCTGTGTGTCTGTGTCTGTGTCTGTGTCTGTGTGTGTTTATGTGTGCCTGTGTGTTTGTGTGCCTGTGTATCTGTCTGTATGGTGCATGCTTCTGCTCTTCCTCATAACGCATGTTGTTGTGCGTTGCTTCTACGCACTCCTCAGGTGGACCATATGCCGGGTTTGCTGGCCACGATGCCACCCGTGGAATGGCCACGATGGCGGTTGGACTGGTACGTACGTACGTATGTTGTGTGTGTGTGTGTGTGTGTGTGTGTATGTGTGTGTGTGTGTTGTGTGTGTGTGTGTGTTGTGTGTGTGTGTGTGTGTGTGTGTGTGTGTGTGTGTGTGTGTGTGCATCTGTCTGCCTTTCTGTCTGCCTTTCTGTCTGTCTGTCTGTGTGCCTTTCTGTCTGCCTTTCTGTCTGTCTGTCTGTGCATCAACTCGTTCTCATTGTGCACTCCCCTCACCACCACCACCACCCCTCAACCACACATCACGCTCCTTCTTTAGGTTTCTGAAGAGTGGGATGACACGTCGGATCTGGACGAGCATGAGCGCCAGACCATGCTCGAGTGGAAAGAGAAGTTTCTCAGCAAGTACCCAGTGCGGTACGTCAACTTGTGTGTGTGTGTGTGTGTGTGTGTGTGTGTGTGTGTGTCTGTGTCTGTGTCTGTGTCTGTGTCTGTGTCTGTGTGTGTGTGTGTCTGTGTCTGTGCCTGTCTGTCTATCTATCTGTCTGTCTGTCTATCTGTTTGTCTGACTTTGCGTGCATGCGTGCTTTGCCTTATTACCTCTGCTCCGTCTTCTCAACCGTCCTCAACTCACTCTTCACGCCATCTCCCCTGCAAATCAGAGGGACCCTCGTCAAGAGCAAGTAGCCGCGTCACAAGACCAACACACACACACACACACACACACACACACACACACACACACACACACACACACACACACACACACACGCGCGCGCGCGCGCGCGCTTTCGTTCGTTTGCCTGCACCTTGTCTACTGTTGGGAACGCTGCGTACTGCCAAACAACAGACGCACGTCCACACGACCACTACAAATAAGAAGCAAGCCAAGCACAAACACGGGTCTGTCAAAGCGAAGGAGTGGTGACGATGACGTGATATCAACAAAGGCAAGCAAAGTCTAACAAATGTTGTGTAGTGTAAGTGCACACGACACAAAGAACACACACACACACACACGAACAGAGCTGCGCACATCACTTCTTGTGCACCTAGGAACACTCAACCGAAACAACCAACCAACCAACCAATCAATCACACAAAGCCAGCCAGTCGTCGTGCCGCGCATGCAGCACATATACAATCATCGCGCCATAGCAGGAAGCAGGAAAGCCAGAAGAAACGACGAGTCAAAGAAGCGGGAAAGCAGCCGGGGCAATGACATGTCATGTAACAACAAAAGGAAAGGAGGGAGAGAAAAGAAGACGTCAAGTGAAGGAAGACAACCACAACCCATACAAGATGATCAAGTGCGTGCTTGTGTCCTCTTGTTCAGCGGAGATGCGCTCTGCACAGTGAATGAAGAAAACGGTAGGCACACAACAGCAGAGCATGAGATATTGGTCACGTGCTCGTATCATGCGAATACACAGACAAACAGCCGCTTCAACCCACAAACACCTCATTTCAACATACTCTCAACAACAACAACAACAACAGCAACAGCAACAGCAACAGCAACAGCAACAACAACAACAACAACACAAGCGCTGCAACGCAGCCTCGCAAACACATATCACGCCAGTTTCAAACAAAACCAACAACCATACTTACGATGGAGATGCGAAAGTCCTCAATCTTCTTAAAGGGTGCAATAATTTCCTTGAGCTCCGGGCGCAGCTGGCCAGGGTAGCGGTGGTCTTTGCTGTAGTGCAGAAGCGCCCACAGCTTCTCAAGCCCGTACAAGTGGCCCTCGTTGTGTTCCCACAGCACCATGTCCTGGAACTCCTGATACAGGTCAAACCGGTACCGCTTCTCCAGGCCGTAGCTGTAAAACCGGAACAGGCACTCCATACCGTACCTGACGTGGTGCACAGCAATCAGCGACACACACACATCATGCAAAGTGTATGAGCATGTGGCTGAAATAACTCGCAAAGAGGTGTTCAAACGACGGAACAATGTAAACGAACACGACACGATGAAACATAACTCAATGCAACAGCATGACGCAATATCAACCACCCCCTCTTCTACACGCACGCACACAGCACATTGAACGCACCGAGAGCCAGCCTTGTGATCCTCCATGGCGAGCTTCTTGAACTCGGTGTACATGTTCTTGTTGAAGTGCTCGCGCAGGAAGAAGGACCAGAACCGGAAGAGGTTGCGCATCTCCTGTGACCTTGCCGGGCCAAGGCGCTTGCGAGCTCGCAGCGCCTGTGCATGGTACTTGCTGTACACGTGTCGCTGCGTCGCGTCCTCACCGTTGATGTAGCGGCTAACGTCACGGCGCTGGGGCTTAGTATTCTGCTGCGTGCGAGAAGGGAAAGACAAGCCGTGAGTGGGCAAGAGAGAGAGAGAGAGAGAAAATAAACACATGCACGCGCACAACCGATGGAGCGTTGTGACATGCGACACCGTGCAACGCAGTCAGCAAAATCACGAAACGATTATGGCGCTCACAAAAAAAAAAACAAGCGAGCAAATGGAACGCAGAGAAGCAGGGGCTGTGTTACGTACCGCGCTGCGGACATCTTCCACCGAGCCCTGTGGCTGGTATGGCTCCGCATCGGGGTTCATGACCCAGCCAATCGAGTCCTCATGCTCTGGGCGGGTGCTGTACTTTGACTTGTAGGACTTGCCCTTCTTGAGCGGCGATGGCTGCAGTGCGAGCGAAAAGAAGGGAAAAAAGAAAACAACAAACACAACGAGATGATCACGGAAAGATCAGCAACCAGCATGCAAAATTCATACATCACACAACAAGCACACACACACACACAATCCACACGCTTCACGTACAAACACAAGAAGTCATGCAGCAACCAACCTCTGGTGTGGTCTTGGCTGGGAAGAAGCGGCCGCCCTGGCGCATCTCATTTGGTGTGAGTGGAAGCGGTGCAAGCGCAGTGTCGGCGCGCGGCGAGCCAACACTGCTGGCACGAATGCGATCGGACGACACAACGTCGGACACGGCCATGTGCTCCGGCGCCTCGCGCACAGACCCACTGCGCGGCTTGGAAATCTCCTCCAATGCCTCGGGCTGTTGGTGATGTTGGGTTGGGGGGGGGGCATGGAAGGAAAGAGGGAAATCACGAGCAGAGATCGGGGGAACGGAAAAGCAGCAAGCAGGCGATTAACGACAAAACCATCATGAATGCTGAACACTGCACGGCAGCAACAACAGGTCTGGTACCGAACACAAGGCTCGCTCCATACAAGCACAGTGTTGAAGACAGATAAACCATGGAGCACAAACGCATCACATCATATCATGCAGTGATTTCAGGCGCAGTGATTTGCAATCACAGTTTCATTCAATTCTTCTCCCTTACCCGAATCACAGTCTTGGAACCCAGGTGGGCACGGCGTGTTGCTTCGTACCTATCAAAGTACTCACGGTCAGCCTGTGAGCCACAAGGGCGGAAGGCAGCACAGGAGCATGTCGGATGCCATGCGTTCAGGTGGTAGGTGCGGGTCAGTCGTATGGGAACCACCGAAGCTCAGCAACACGCAAGCGGCAACGTGTAAAACAAAGGGAAGCAGACCAAATACGCAAGAAGAAACATGGAGGAAAGGTTCTCGGACCAAAAACAACAGAAAAGAGGAGGCGGTCAGTTCGTGTACAACAGCGACAGAGAGCTGCCCACGGCTTGGCCAATGCCCGCTTGTGCCATCAGAACGCGGCAAAGAAGCACGCGAACCACGACACAAAAGTAAAACTGCAGATCGGGTGCTGATTGCATCATCAGCAAGACGCTCAACAGTGCCTTTCATGACCAACAGCGGTCGCATTTGCAGCATGAAGAGCAAGGGAGGAAGACCTCCACAAGCACACACGCACAGCAAAGACCACACACTGCAGGCATCAAAGGACACTGCACACAAGCGCATGCGATGCCGCAAGGCAACACAAGAAATGCACTTCACCAGGCAACGGCCAGAGTGCCGAGGGTGCTGTGTTGGCCAAAGGAGAGCACGAGCGACAACTCTGTCTCAGCAAGGAAAACCCTTGCCAAGACTGGCCGCATTGGCTCAGGCGGCCAACACAGCGCACTCTTCAGAGAATGGATAAACTAGTCTCCATCATTCCGCCAAACAAGAATGAAGGGGGAACAGACGCAAACATCAAAGTCGCGTGGATTGTCCACAGAAGGAGAAAGAAAGAGAGAGACCCATTGAAACGATGGACGTGCAGACAATCAGGGGGGAGAAGAGTGGCAGGAGAGAAAGAACTCAAGGAAGGACGGCGAGCACAAAAACAACTGTTTTGCTCAGTGGTTGTCTCAGAGCAGTGAAAGGCACAGAAGCACGGCAGACTTATGTACACTTATACACACACACGGCACGTACCTCATACTCCTCAAAGTCAGCCATGATTTCGCGACGGAGGCCAGCCCGCTTTGTTGCGCGCTTCACGCTCACGCCGGTGCGATCCTTGCCCTCATGCTTCAGGCGCCTCGGTTTCGACGGCTGTGGAGGTGTAGATGTGGGTGCGTTTGTGACAAGCGGTGAAGGTGGTGTGAAACGTGAGTTGGTAGGAAACCACATACATGGTCAAGTTGGTGCGGGTGCTTCATGTGCGTGGATGTTGTGTTGACCGCACTTGTCACGTGCGGCGGGCGTGCACCCAAAGTACAACAAGAGCTCCCAAGAAATACATGGCACGCCCAACAAGAGCAGGTAATCAGGCACAACCCGCACCCGTCGTAGCCCATCGTCAACTCACCGTGGAGATGATGATGGTCAAGCTCTGCAGGTCTTCGTCCTTGAAGTCATCGGAAAGGCTGAGCGCGGAAACACAGCAAAACAAGAAAACATGTCAGAAGCGTGTCGCAGGAGCAAAACGAAGGCTGACATCACAAAACATGATTAAATTCAACAAAACCAAAACCAGACCATCAATGAATACAGCACACACACACGCGCGGGGTCGCGCATTCACACACAGCGATCGCTCTCCACATCACCATCACCATCACCGACAGCATCCATACGTACTCTTCCTTGCTGAAGGCAATCTGTTTGGGCCGCTGCGATCCAGGTTTTTGCAGCAGCAGTTGCTCTGTCACCGAGTCTGGCGCCAAAGCATTGTCCGAAGGCTCCCTAGGTACAGCGGTGTCCTCATTGTCAGGGGTGGCCGGTGCATTGTCTTGCGGCTTCTCTTGCTCTTGCTGCTGCTGCTGCTGCTGCTGCTGCTGCTGCTGCTGGTCGTCTGCTGGTGATGCTGAGCTTGGCTCCGCCTTCTTCGCCTTGCTCTTCCGCTTCTTCTTCTTCGTCTTCTGCAACAGAGTAAGCGTCAAAACAAAACAACCGGTGAGCTCCGTGTGATGGAAAAATGCAACCAAGAGTATAAGGCAGGTAGCCGCGCTTGAAGCACAGCAACCCCACAGCCTGTCTCCCCCAATTAAAACCATTGACCGAGTGTCGGTTTCAGGTTTTAATTAGAAGTACAAGACGAAAGCAACACAACTTCTCCACAACAACAACATCAACATCAACGAAAACAACAACAACAACAACAAGAAGACAACTGCGACACACGCACTCCTCCTGACAAACAGCTGTACGCATATGACGATGCAACTCGTGACAAAGCACGGAGAACCGTGCGATGCAATCACAAATCGATCATGCGACAGAAGCTGACAGAGAAAGGGGCGCGAACGCATCCGACTAAGAAACGAAACACGGGAATGACAACACCACATCAACAGGACGCTCTAGGAATGTGAAACGGCTGAAAGGGGGAGAGAAATAGAGAAGAGGGGGAGAGAGGAGGAAGGGGGGCTTGGTTGGCTGGTTGGTTGAGAGGTTGGTTGGATGGTGAGAAGGGCACGGAGGGAGGAAGGGATGAAGATATAGAGACTTGGGGGGGGGCAGGCAAAGAGGAGGAAATTTCACGGACAGGTCGGGAAGAAGGGATGTGCTTGGGCACAGCGGCATTGGATGACCCGTTGCCCCATGAACAATGAGAGCCATGGGGCGGACCCAAGCGCAAGGAAAAACTAAACAGAAACCTCACGCGGTGTGAGAAGTGCGAAAGAAGAAGCGACCGATTATCCCAAGCACGAGCTTGGTGCAAGAAATGAAAAGAGGGGGGAAAACGCCGCAATACCAAAGTGGCCACCACGGTTGCTGAGAGCGCAAAACAGGATGTGCTGCAAAACGCACAGAGCCGCTGCGATTGGCGACAACAACGACGTCAAAGCAGGCAGAGCTCACAATACGCTGTACTATGTGGCGTCATTGATACGAATTGGGGCTCGGCTAGACGAGAGGGATGAGAAACTAGGCCGGCCGGAAAAGAGGGGAAGAGGGCGTGTGTTGCGCGTTTGAGCCATGGGATCGCTGGTGACGTGCGGTGGACAACGCGAAGCGGGCGACAGCTTCATTGTGGCACGGCGGTTTGAAAGGGAAGAGGTGCATGGACAGGAAAACAATGCCATACACACGACAAAAGCGCAATCTGTAAAATGGGGATCAACCCATCCCAACGGCGACTGACCCAGCGTTCAAACAACCACAAAAGAAGTGCAGAACAACACGCGCGAGCCAACAGCAGAAACAAGAAAAGAAACCAAAAGAATGCGAGCTAGTTTCAGTAGCGGGTGATGGAAGGGATAGATGACAACACCAAGCACGCTTTGAACAAGGGAAAGCACCCAACTTGATCGCCTCCGCACAGCTTCAAGGCATCCCAATCAACTCACAGCAAGCGAAGTGACCAGGCTCCAAGGTGAAGGCTTCCAACCGTGCCAAAACAAGCAAACAAAAAAAAAGCCAACCGAGGGAAGTGAGAAAAGAAGGGAAAGGGGTAGGGGGAAAGAGCAACGCTGGATGTTGGAACGACGGGACAGCACGCGTCCCCTCTACCAGTATGTACGTGCTCGAGAAAAGGGGCAAGGGGTGCGAGAAAGGGCGAAACAAGGCATGAAGAACCAAAGCAACAAAGCGGATAAAGAAACGTGACACACGATCACTATCAGTCACAACACAGCCACAACAAGCCAACGCAACATGCAGGGCGAGAGACGCCATTGTGACGAATACAAGAGAGACAGTCATGTCAGGGGGAGGCGTGGACGGAGACGGAAACGGTCGAGCGAGTGGGAAGATGGGGTGGAGGTAGGAATGAGCGCAAAACAGAGATGGTAAATGAAAACTGCACGGATCACGAATGCCGAGATGATGCTGATGCTGTTAGGCTGCGTTCCGATGGCTCCAGATCACATGGCTGGTGTAGGCTCGGGAAGCAACACACGCCCCTAAAACAGAAGGAAAAACAAACACACGGAAAAGAGAAAACAACAAGAGGAACAAGATGTGGTCATGCACAAGGTATGACAACTATGGTTTGTGGAGGGAAACAAGACAAGGCCAGGAACAGAAACAACTGGACTACAATGCCACCCAAAGTACACAAGCGTTGAGAACTAAATCAATGCAGCCTGCTTGGTGACGGAGCGCAAGAGCTCGCTTCAAAGCAACGGCTTACAGTTGGTTGTCTCACGGCACACAAGAAAGAAATGCAGACAATGTGCATTGAAAAAGGTTGGGGAACAAGGGAGCGTTCTCCAGCCAAGTCCTTCCAACCGGTGAAAAACGTTCTCAAACACCCGAAAAATACAGGCCTGTCCGGCCAACCAAACCAACTGACGAACCCGAGTCAAAACCAAACACAGACAGGAGCCAGTGCACCTCTTCTACACGGACACGAGTGAGGAAGGAGATGGGGCTGAAAAGCGTGTGAGTGTGGCGCTCACCTCCTGCTGTGTGTCGTGAGGCGGTGTCTGATCGCCGGCGAAAAAAGGCTGTGGCATCAAACCAACGGTGGGCTCTGAACACAGGTGCAAGTCGGGGCGGGGCGTGGGCACGCGGAAATCAAACATGAGTGATACATAACGCAGTTCAGGCACAACACGCGCAGGCACGAACACAAGAAACCGCAAACACATTGAAGCTTTGTGCATGTGTTTGTTTCGACAAGGAAACACACATGAGGTCATGCATATTGCGGAACAGACAACTCACTGCTGCTTGGATAGAATTCTGGGGCGTTGACAGCCTTCTTCAGGATCACTTCACTGGGTTCAAAGGCCCTGCGGCGAATGCCCAAGGAGTCGCCACGCATGACAGTCTCAAGCATGGGGCTCCTGTTGTGGTTGCGCAAACGCGTATGGCAAGAATGCGTGTCAATGTGCGCGAGAAGCATTCATTGAAGGACAATCAAGACTGCAGCTGCTTGCTCAAACTCAACGCGGCATACACGAACAAACAACCAACCAACCAACCAACCAAACAAACAAACAAACAAACAACCAACCAACCAACCAACCAACCAAACAAACGTGCGTTGTACACTCACTGCATGAGGCTGTCGCGCGCGATTGCGAGGCGGGCCTGCTGGCCCGTGATCCCGTACATGTGCAGGTACTTCTGCACGCGCGGGAACTCGAGAAGAACCGTTGCAGGAACCACGCCGTCGGCATCCATGTGCTGTCGGAGGAAGTTGTCAGTGGCAAGGTTCTTGTCTGACATGTAGTACTCAAGCTGGCTGCGCACAATGGTCATTGGGTCCGGGAACCCGTCTGCAAATAGACGTGAAATCATCAGGGGCGTTGGGGGGGGTGTAGAACAATGCGTGGAAGAGTAACTGTAAGTGAGTGGCAGACTGGCATTTGTCCGTGTTGGTCTCACGACACAACAATCTTGACGAATAGCCCATCACTGCATGCACGCAACAAGTGACAACGTGTAAACACAAGGGAGGCGACATAACCAGCGGGTATAACACACACACACCAAAAAAAGAGCAGAACATTGACGTGGAGTGAACGTACAGGTAGGCATAAACTCCTGGTTGGGAATGAACATGGGCGGCACTGCGAAGAGCAAACAAGGTGAGGTGAACAAGTCAAAGTGGGGTGAGAAACCAAGAGGCACTGTAAATGATGGCGGAATCGCACACTGCGCATGTCGTGCCAGATGCAGACAAAGTGATCACACTCGTGTACATGAACATAACACAGGGCGAATGACACAAAGCCAATAACACAAAGATAACGCACTCATCATCTGAGGGTTGAACGGGGCCATGCCGGCATCCATCTGTGGCTGCCGCTGCTGCTGCTGCTGCTGCTGGGGGAGACCGTGCTTTTGTTGGTTGTGCTGTTGTTGGTGCGGCTGCTGCTGGTGCTGCTGAGGTTGCTGTTGTTGGTGCTGCTTCTTGCTGTTGTTGCTGCTAGCACCGCTGCCCTGGCGGCGTGGATGCCTGTGGGGCTGACCCTTGCGGCTTTGCTGGTTGCCACCACGACGGCGACCGCCGTTTGTGTTCTTATCCGCGCTTTGCCTTTGGGCGTCGCGTGTCTTGGGTGTCTGCAGCCCAAGCTCGCCCTCAAAAGGCTTGAACTTGGCCTTGCTGCGGAAGTTGATCTTGCCGGAGTCCTGTGCAGCGGCATCGGCGGCGCTGCCGGGGCTGCTGGCGGTGGTTGCGCTGCTGCGTGAAGGGGCGTCGCCAGTGTTTGGCTTGGCAGCCTTGGTCGTCGATGCGGCAGCCTGGCCCTCGCCGGCGGGCTTACCGGCCTTAGCCTCTGTTGAGTCCGCAGCGACGACGGCGCCGAGTGACGGCCAGGCCGGGTCGTTCTTGTTTGCCGCAGCCTTGGCGGCTGTTGGGGCGGGCTTGGCCCAGCCCTTGGGGGTGGCCGTGGGCTGCTGGCTGGTGGCCGCCGCAGAGGAGGATGGGTTGGTGATGGCGGCGGCGGAAGCAGCCGATGAGGAACATGTGGATGCCTGCGCGGCGCTGGCGGAAGAAGACTTGCTGGCGGTGACGTCAATCGGGTCACCCACGCTGCCCAGCGGGTTGTGAACGGGAGCGGCGGCTGTGCTTGAAGCCGTGGCTGGCGCGGGCAGCTTGACAGCGGTGGAGGAGGACTGCTGGCTGTTGAGGGTGAACGTGGGAGGAACGGTGACACCGGCATCGGCGTCATCAGCCTCCGTGTCCTGCTCGGGAGACTGGCGTGGGGTCTCCACTTGCTTCACCTTGGGAGCAGGCGGCATGATGACCGCGGCGCTCGAGTCCGTGGCTGCGGTGGCAGTGGCATTGGCGTCCTTAGCGGTCGCGGTAGTAGCGGCGGCGGCGGCAGCGTCGGCCACCTTGGATTGCACCTGCTTCTGGGAACGCGGGTGCTTGATGACCTCTGTGATGGGCTTGCGCCAGGCGCCCATGACGTTGGGCGTCACTGGGGCCTTTTTGGCGGGCTTCTGCTGCTGCTGCTGGCGCTTCTGCTGTGTCTGCTGCTCGGATCCCTGGGCCGGGTCGGAGGATGTGGAGGACTTGGAAGAGGAGCCTTTGCCCTGGCGGCCACCGCGGTTGCGGCGCCTGTTGCGAGAGGCTTTGCCACCGGCTGGAGCGGCAGCATCATCACGGCGCACCTCGCCGTCACGGGCACCCTGTGCCTTCTGCCCAGCACCGCGCTCCTTGCGCCAGTTGCGCTTGCTGGCGGCGGAAGAGGCGGCGGAGGAGGACGTTGCAGACGAGCCTGCACCAGATGTAGAGGGCGCGGGGGGGTCCTTTGCCAGAGCCTGCTTGGTGGGCTGGGCGCGGCGCTGGCGCTGGGGCTTGGGCTTGGTCTCAATTGCGGTCCATGCGTCGTCCTCGTCCTCCTGTGTGGCGGGGCGGCCCTCGCTCACGGCGGCGTTGGAGACGGGTGCTGTCGTGGTGTCCTCTGTGGCTTCCACAGCATCAGCCACGTCTGAGCCACCGGTGGTAGTGGCGGCGATGGTGGCGTCCTCTGCTGTGCGTCGCTCTTGCTGTTCCTGAGCGGCAGCGACTGGCTGCTCGCTTTCCAGGTGGGTCTGAGTGCTCATGATTGACTGGCTACTCCTGGTAGTCTCGGGGGGGGAGGGGAGGAGAGGGGTGTGGTTCGTTTGACAACACGACCACAGTCTACAAAACGATGAGGAGAGAATCGTGGGGTGGGGATGGGGGCAAACAGTAGTTGTGAGTCAAGGCATTCAGAGTGTGTGGCCGGACGTGTATGGTGTTGATGTGTGATAGGATTAGCATGTGCTTTGAGTGTGTGCGTGTGTGTTGAGGGTGTGTTCTGTGTGTATAAGTGTGTGGGGGTAGTTGCACGCATGTACTTGAATGTTTGTGCATGTCGTGTGTTCTGTGTGGATGGGCATGCAGACACGCACATGCAGACATGCAAGGTGCTCACCGCTAAGTTGTGAGTGTCGTAGATGAGCGAAATGGGCGCGCTCAGCCAAGCACTGTTGGTTGGTGTTGCAGCGCCTGGTGGCTGTAAGCTACCGGAACAGGAGGATTCAAAGAGAGAGAGTGCGGCAGGTGAGTGGAAGTGTGGCAAATTATTGTGTTGTGTTGGTGACGTATGGTGCTTGTGAACAGCGATGTGGACATGAGAAGCATGCATGCATGTGTGCAAGACTGTTGTGCCGGAAGGGAAGCGGCGGGTTGTGGTGTGCGACAGTGTTGTGCGTTAAATAAAGCAGGGGAAGAAAGGCCAATTGTTGTCACAGTCGTGTTGTGTGGTGTGGCTGAATGTGACTGTGTGACATGTCTCTCCCTTGGCTGTGGCTGTGGCTGTTGCTGTGTGTTGGTGGTGTCGCTGCGTGTTGTTGGTGTTGCAGCAGCTGGCAGCATCATCACTGCTCGTCGCCCTCGTTCTCCTTCTTCTTCGCCATCTCCTCCTTCTTCCTCCTCGTTCTCACTCGCTCGCCAAATCACCGTGGTTGCAACCCCCACCACAAACAAACACACACACACACAGCAAGCTGGGGCTCTGGCACGTGACTGATACCACCAGACGCTGCTGATGCTGCTGGTGATGCTGCTGGTGGTGCATTGGCTTCAACCCAACTTGTTGTATGCCACCAAAATCATACACCGAAGGCTCACACGCTTTCCAGAAAGACACACGCACGCATGCGCACGCACACACACTGTCTCGCACTCTCACGCCCTGCCTCTGGAAGGAGAAGCTGTGGTGGTCGGTGATGGCTGATTACTATGCGCACGCGCGTTGACACGCGCACATGCACACGGAAGCATACCTTTTCGAAGCAACTTGTGTGTCGCCAGATAAGGACGAGGAGAGGCTTTTGTGTTGGTCGGTTTGAGGGAGTGAGAGGAAGAGCGGGGTTGTTGGTCGATGGGAGTAGGAACAGAGGAAGGGGGGGGGGCAATTGAAAGGAACAAGGGGGAGATTGACGATGGAGTCGAAGCTGAAGCTGGTGGTGGGTTGGAATGGAAGGCACACGCGCACACGGGAGAGGAGGAAGAAGACGAGGGAGGGAGCCAACCACGAGGGCACAGACAACTCACTCACGCGCGTGTGAGGGGGAAAAGGGCGATGCCAACACGAGTTCTTTCACCCTTTTGCCACAAGGGGACGAGGATTTGCGCACGTTTCCCAGTTATTTTCGTCCACCACGTGTGCACGAAGCAGCGCCAACAACCCCCCTATCGCCTAATGCGTCCTCACGCACCGACGGTGGATAAGCCACACACAGTCTACGCCTATTTTGTACGCGACAGCACAAGTTACAAGAGAACGGTGTACGACGGCGACACACAGAGATAATGGAGGCGGACAACCGGCTGTCGTTCTTCAAGGTTGGTGCTTCTTGTGTGCTTGTGTGTGCTTGTATGTGTGGTGTGTGTGGGGTTGTATGTGCTTGTATGTGTGTGTGTGTGTCTTTGTATGTGTGCTTGTGTGTGTGTGTGTCTTTGTATGTCTTTGTATGTGTGCTTGTATGTGTGTGTGTGTAGGTTCAAGTGTTTGCGTGGACTCATTTCATTGTCAACTGCGCATGAACCATCATGGAACATACAGACGGTGCTGCAGTTGAAGCGTGTGGAACGGGCAGGATGGGTGCGACGCAAGGTGCCGCGGCCAGAAAGCGTGGCTGACCACTCCTTTATGATGGCAGCCATTGCATTCGCTGTCCCAGACACATCGCAACTCGACCGAACCACGTACGCTCGTGTGTGCATGTGGGTGTGTGTGTGCATGTGTGCGTGTGTGTGTGCAGGTGTATGTGTGCGTGGGGGGGGGGGAAGGGAGGACAGTGTATGTGCAGGGTGGTGGGACAGTGTACGTGCAGGGTGTGTGTGTGTGTGTGTGTGTGTGTATGTGTGTGTGTGTGTGCGTGTGTGTGCAGGTGTGTGCAGGTGTGTGTGTGCAGGGCGTGGGAGTGTGTGGGTGGGGTGTATACAGGTGTACGAGCACCACGGCCTCATCCTTCGGTGTGGATTCTACTGCTGGCACTACGCTCGCCCACAGTCCCGATGCCCTCGCATTACACGCTCGTCCGCACCCGCACAGACCAGAATGATTCGCTCACTCGCGCGCACGCGCAATCCCGTCAAAACCCCACACACCAATTATTTATCGCAGATGCATCCAAATGGCAGTTGTTCACGACATTGCGGAGTGTATTGTTGGCGACATCACACCTCACGACGGCATCTCAAAGGCAGACAAATCCCAACGCGAGCAGGTACACAGGAGCTCCGTGCAGCGTGATTGCGCCGTGTGCGTCTGTGTGTCTGTGCATGTGTGGGAAGCGGCACTTGCCATTGCCCACACGCGTGACCCGTTGCGCTGCCCCTCCTCGCCGCCTGTTGTTGTTGTTGTTGTTGTTGTTGTTGTTGTTGTTGTTGTTGTTGTTGTTGTTGTTTAAGTTGTTGTTGTTGTTGTTGTTTTAGTTGTTGTTGTTGTTGTTGTTGTTGTTGTTGTTGTTGTTGTTGTTGTTGTTGTTAGTTGTTGTTGTTGTTGTTGTTGTTGTTGTTGGTTGTTGTTGTGTTGTTGTTGTT